AAAAAGGATTTCAAATCCTATCAGAGACGATGAGATTGTAAGCACTTTCTGAAGCACCACCTAATCTTGACTACATCAAAAAAAAACTTAAGCCTCTTTGTGCAGATAATGATGAAGGATTTTCACATCCTAATCCTTTATGGAAAAATGAAGAGTTTTTACCAACTTCCCTTTAAGTTGAATGGATATATCAATCCTACGAAGGCGACTCATCCAGGAATGACTCTTTCATATCTCCAGCTTGCTAGAAAAGAATGCCAAGAACTCCTAAGACAAGGTTTGATTTAATCAACTAAATCTCAATGGGCATGTCAAGCCTTCTATGTTGAAAAAAGATTTGAAAAGCTTCGTGGCAAAAAGAGATTGGTGATTGATTACAAGGCACTAAATCAATTTCTGCAAGATGATAAGTTTCCTATTCCAAAAGTCTCGACACTTCCAATACTGATCAAAGATGCCCACATTTTTTCTAAATTTGATCTCAAATCTAGATTTTGGCAACTTGGTATCAATCCTGCTAATAGATACAAAATGGCATTCTGCATTCCAAATGCACATTACTAATGGAAAGTACTTCCTTTTGGTATCAAGGTTGCTCTTTCATTGTTTCAAAAGGAAAAGACCAAGATATTTGATCCCATCTTAGAGAGTATACTCATCTATATTGATGATATCTTACGTTCCCTGATGATAATCTTACAACCAAGCAAGTTCATCCAAGGCCCAATGGAGATTCCTTTTCATAACACAGTTGATGAATCAGATAAGTCTGGAGAGTTTGATCCTTATCTTGATCCTTTCTTTGTAGATTGTCAAGATCCTAATGCAGAAGTCATGAATGAGATCATGAAGGAAAAGACAAAGGTTGATGAGTCTAAGCCTTGGTTTCATACTTTCTATGGTAGTGTCAATTTAAAAGAAAAGAGAGAGCTTAATCTGACACCCAACCAATCAATCCTGCGCAGCAATGACTAGTAGACAAAGTGATTTTCAAAGTCATTTTCAGGAGCCATCTCAGTCAAAAGCTAATTTAGTAGTTTGAGGTTGTAATTAAAAGTTACTTTATGGTATGGATTTTAGTATGCTAAGTCAAAAGTAATTGTCGTGTCATTATCATGTTTGCTTAATTTGTCAAAAGGCTAGTGTAATTTGTCAAAAGCCTGGTCTGCTTAGTCAAAAGGCTATCTTTTTTATTTTTTATTTTTTTGTAAAAAAGAGGGGCTAAGCCCTAGAAACAGAAAGAAATTACAATTCAGAAACTAACAAGCTAGACATATTTCTAGCATCAGCAACTATAAGTTCCATCAATTGAGGAGGAGGATCTTTAAAAATCTTGAAATGGAGATTATCAGTCTGCCCAGCTTTAGCTAACCAATGAGCACATTTGTTGTTTTCTCTCTTGGTATGAACAAGATGAATAGTCCAATCTGCTTTTAACCATAATCTCAATCTGCTAGTGACTTGAGAGTCCCTAGGATCTTCATGCTGCTCCTTTAACATCTGGATGGCTTGGCTAGAATCACATTCTAGCTCTATTCTTTTTAATCCTGTACCCCAAATCAGTTCCAAACCTTTCAGTAATCCCCATAATTCTGCATCAAGAGGATTGCAGGAACCTAAATTACAATAGAAGCTTCCCAAAAAAGATCCATTGTGATCTCTTAATATACCACCACAACTAGCTTTTTTCATGCCACTAGAAGAAGCTCCATCACAATTCAACTTAACCCACCCTTGCTTGGGGGCTATCCAAACGCTATCCTTGGAATCACCACGGCGCTGATAAATTCGGGCTTGCAGAATCTGTTGGACAAACATCCAAATTGAAGCCTGCGATTGCTCGTCATGACAAAATGATCTTCATGGATCTCCAAATTTCTCCACTTCCACAAAAACCAACAAGTAGTAAAGAAAATATCCCTCCAGTCCTTCACTTTATTGGAGGACCACATGTTATCAATATTTAAAGTCAACCAATCCTGCAAATTCGAATTCATAAAGGAATTGGGTATCGAACCTGTAAACCAAGATTGCCAAATTTTCCTAGCATGTCTACAATCACGAAGAACATGAATAATAGTTTCCTCATGATTTGGACAACTGGGACAGACATTTGAACCTCCACTCCACTTACTGGTTCTGCTGCGCACTGAAAGTTTAGCAAGCAAAGTCATCCACATAAACACTTTCACCCGTTCTGGTCCATTCCACGACCAAACTTTATCTTTAGGTTTTGGATTATTATGTACTTTGTCAAAAGAAGTTGATGATATGTCCTTATCATGTCTACTTTGTCAAAAGTAGTAGTTAGGATGTCACTATCATGTCTATAATCATGATAGCTTGTGATGTAAGTGATGATGTTTGTATTTTTGTTTGTTTCTGACTTCCTTTTCTACAAAAGGAAGTTTTTAAGGAAGTTTTTGTTTGTAAAACTCATAATTTGATTCAGAGTTGGATTGAGAAATAAAGTAGTGTGTTTTATCCAAGAATACTTTCTAAGTTTCTTTCTTTTTTCTGAAAGCCAAGTATAATGTTGTTACCAGGATTGTCACCGCTCTTAGAGAAGCAAATATGCCCTACACTTGCCCATTTTAAAGGATCATGTGTATCAGAATGCAGAATTTGTAATGATCCATGTGTTTTACGATCATCCTATCTTTAAGTATCTATAGGTGATAATTGTTTGAGTCATCTGGAAAAGAGCTAAAAGGCGAGGGTGATGTCGTGGAATGCTCTGGACGAGGATGGATGAAATGACTAACCCATGGATACTTAGGGATTGGGAGGCTCTCAATACCCATTAACAGTACTGAACAGTAGCCCCCGCGTATGAACAGTAACCATGAACAGTAGCCTCGTATAAAACGCGTATGAACCGTAACCATGAATAGTAACTGCGTATACAAATGGTTACACTACTCATTATAGAGAAGATGTAGAGATAGGGAGGTGAAACATCCATAAATTTATTTCATAACATCTATTACTTTATCAAAAAGATAAATAAGTGGGACTCATGTTGCCTTAATTATAAAAAAATAGATAAAATAAATAAGTGGGACTCATGTTGCCTTACTTTACCGAAAAAATTTTCCATTGAGTGTTGCTACGTGTCATTTATTTTATTTTTTTATTTTTTTTAAAGGGAGTGATGCTAAATGGACTAATGTCTCTTCGTGTTTCATTGGCTCAGGTGTCATTCTCGCAGCATATCAAGTATGTTTCCAAAATTATTAAAATAAATATTTTTTTTGGCTATAATGATCAATCAGACTGCAAAGTGATTATAAGATATAAAATAATTTTATATAATAATATTAGCGTTATTAAACTCGAATATCAACTCAATTAAGGTATTGTGTTATTAATTAAATCACTTAAACTGAATATATATGATTATGTAATAAATATAATAATAAAATCATTATAAGTAATAAGTTATTGTCACTTAATTATGTAAAGTTATCGGTTTCGGTATCTAGCATAGGCAGTTTTCCAATATTTTGCATCAATAGTCTAAAAATCAATCCTCTTAAAAATTGGTACCGATTTCATACCGTGCCACTTGAAGAATCGATCCATCAGCTGGATCAGATGGTTGGTGATCCGATTCCAGTTTAACCGGTTGGATTAGCCCGTAATGACTTAATAATTTGTTCTCCATGATCTGTTGTTTACAAATATTTATTTTTTTAGATTTTTTTTCTAATTAGAGAACAAGTTTGTTCTTTTTAAAATCTTAAGGTGGAGTTCAAGTTTAGGAATCAAACTATAAGAGGGCCTACAATTGACTTTCACTCTTACTCTCTCAAACCGTTTGCGTCCCCTTTTAGAGAAGTAATAGTCAATAGACACAAATTACAAGTTATTCTACTTACTTTTTAACTTTTTTTTTGTCTATCTTTGCTAGCGATGTGCAAGGGTCGAATCAAACTGATTTTTTTGAAAAACCGAACCAAATTGGTTTAAATGGTTCGGTTCGAAAGTGGTTCGGTTCAAAACTGGTTCGGTTCGAAAGTGGTTCCGTTCGGTAGGAAACGGTTCAGTTCGGTTGGGAACTGGTTCGAATCAACCCTATTTTGAAAAGAAAAAAAAAATTAAAAAAATAAAGTTATAAAAATCAATTTGGTTCAGTTTGAAAACGGTTCGGTTCTTAAACTGGTTCGATTCATGAACTGGTTGTTTAAAAACCGGTTCGTTTCATGAACCGATTTTTAAAAACCGATTATTTTAAGGGCGGTTCGGTTCAGTTTTTTGGTTATTTTGCACACCCCTAATCTTTGCCTATTACTCTAAGGGCCTGTTTGAAGCACCTGATAAAGAAGATAGGATAGGATAACTTATCATATCTTACTTTTATCTCTTGTTTGGTAGGTCAAGAGGATATGATTATGATTAGCTTATCCTATTGTCTCATTTTATCCTATCCAATACATGATTTCTTATCCTATGGGGGGAGCTAGGTTAGAATTCAACAGGTTAGGATACCAATATTAGATATCCAATATATCCCCACGCTACCTCCCTTCCAAAACACAGGACATGATACAAGCTTATCAATCCCATATCATATCTCACCCTTATCCAACTCTCTTATCCTATTCAGTCCACGAAACAAGCCCTAAAAGACTATTAGATCAAAATCTTAATTAACATTTATCTTTCTCTCTGTCTAACTTTGTCTACCACTGTACAAGACTATTAGATCAAAATCTTAAAGACTATTAAATCAAAATCTTAATAAACATTTATCTATCTTTCTCTCTGCCTACCATTCTAAAAGACCATTAGATCAGAATCTAAAGAGGAGAGAAAAATATAAATAATCAAAATCTAATGATCACTGTTATCATATCAAACAATGAATTAAAATTAAATTTTATATTGTTAAGTTGTTCTGTTAGTTTCTTGTTTTATTTTTGTTTTCTTGTTCTGGGGCTATGCCCCTTATATGTACCAATAAAAAATTAAATTAAATTTTATATATAAAAACTTACCACGAATGGATCATTGTTAGCGCCGTTCATCACTTTCGCCGTCGTCAACAACCCAAGCGCCGCCGGTGCTCTGGTGGTCCACCTCACACACAACATCAGTTCATTCTCTCTTATACCATAAAACGCTACAAACAAAGATCAAAACGACGCCGCGTTCCTGCGTTTATAAAACCGTAAATACCTTAGCAAATTCCGGAGTAAATCTCCGAGCCCGAGCTGCGCCGTCGTGCTTATCACTGCCATCGCTGCGAATATCAGAAATCCCAATAGATGCCTGCACCAACCATGAATAAAATTTTGGATGATTATATCAAACACTGCGGAAATCGCACGCCAAATGTTTGTAGAAAACGGTTAATGAATAAAAGGATCAGAATCGGACAGAAGAGAGAGGTGAAAGTTAAAATTGCTCACGTCCAAACGTTTAGGGTTTCGTTGTGCCATGCGAAGATGCTCCACAAGGCCTCCTTCACGGGCCATTCGGAGCGGTAATAGTCAAGGATGAACTCGCTGTCTTGTAAGTACTCCGGTAGCTCCTGGAACTTCACCAATCGCCTTTCGAATCTCTTTGTTTTCACTTCCTCAATCGCCGGGATGCTTTCGCCTTCTTTCCGGCTGTTCTTGTTGCCACTCCGACGAAGGCTGTTCATCCTCGTTCGTCGTGATAGTGCAGCCTCGCCGGAAATTTTCTTACGACTCCGTTTCGGGAGAAAAATTAGCCTACTCGTTGTTCTCTGGCAGATCTCCTACCAGATTTTATATTCAACAAACAGGACATATCAACACTTTTTTTTTTTTTTGGGCAGAGGCATTTCAACACTTCAATTTTGCATAAAAACTGTGCTAAAAATTAATAAATAAGGGCATTCATCTTCATCATATATTTTAAATTGAATTAATAATATTTTTTTGTATTTTATAAATAAAACTAGTATAAAAGAATTTAGTTCAATTTATTTATTGCAAAAAAATATTCGTTTGGCTTGTATCGATCAATTTCCATTTTCACAAAAATGAAAAGACAAAATATTTGTGTGCTTCGTCTATTTTCTTTAAATTTAAACGCTTTAATATTTTTACATTAAGTGTAAATAAATTATTTACATTTATTTTCGAATTGATGTTGTTTTGAATTGAAAAATTAAAAAATTATAATAAGAAAGACTATTATAACTCTGAAATAAATCATAATTACAAAAATATCTTGATTTTCATTCCAAAACGACGTCATTTTGAGCTCAATATAAATAACTCATCTATATTAATCGCAGAAAAAATGAACTCAAATTTAGAATTATAAAAAAACTGATTGACTAAGAATTTTAGATTATAAACGTTTATGTAGTATTTTCTTGTTATCAATTACTATAAATTTAACATGACATTAATTATTGATAAATCAAATTTTAAAATAATTTTAGCATATATTGTTTTTAAAAATGTTCAATGTGTCCCGATTTATGAGATTTTATAAGGGATGCATAAGTATAACAACTATGTTGGCATTAAATTTATTGTAAATACTACGACTTAATTTCTTTTCACTTATATTGCATAATAAATACACAAGACACACATATACAATGAAAAAACTTGTTCACAGTATATTTACAAAAACTATTAATTGATTAAAACTACTCTATATAATCTATTAAATCTAAAACCTATTCACATAAAAAGTTATTTAGTAGCTAATTTATCCGAATTGATTTAACAATTTCTTCTTATAACTTGTGTTATTATTATTAAGCACTTTTGTTATTGGATTTAATCTCTCTCAGATATATGATATAAATTACTTATATATATATATATATATATATATATATATATATATATATATTCATATATATTTTTTCTTTTTTTCATATGATTTTATATAAAAAAAAATATATGAATATATATATATATATATATATATATATATATATATATATAAATAATTTTATTTTTTATAATACGAGAAACTTATTCCTCCTTGTTAGTTGAGCAACTTGAACGGCATGAATCCATTTTGTTAAGAGGTGACAAAATCAAGCAATCTTGTTTGCGAACGGGTATGAGTCAATTTGATTGGGCCAACTATAATAAAAGATTATGACCCATATCTAGTTCACAGAAAACCGGACGAATCATGCCACTTTTTCTGCCATTGCTATTTGGTGAGATTTGGTGTACTGACCATTGTCACCAATTCCATATGCTCCTCTAATTTAACGACGTATCTAGGAATAGCCAGGACAAAATGTTTTCAATAAAGTTGGTAATTGATATGAATACTTTTGACATTTTCCCAAAACAAGTTGATATTTTTTCTTCACATGCATGAACCTTAGGACACTTTGGTACAATAAATTTTTTTGAATTCCTAGAAAACTGAGATTGATAATTTTATTTATCTATATTGAATACAAAAATTGTGAATTTATTTTTCAAAAATCTGAATTTTTCATGATTCTACTTTTGAATAATTTTTAAGCCAAAATAGCATCCAATAATATTATTATGCGAGAGTGATATTTTTAGATTCCCAGTATTTTTGACCTCCACACTAGTGGCGCGATCAATAGTGAACACACATTGTTGCAATTGTCTCCACTTGCAGACACAAAATTGGGGAGAAAAAAAAAATCAAAGGGGTGGATGATTTAGATCAAGTAAAAATAAAAGAAAAAAGAAAATAGAAATATTGAAAAGAAAAAAGTAAACATAGGCCCAACTTATTCAACCCTTACAATAAAAAACTTAAAGCTTAAACCTTAGCTCATTATTTTTCCTTTTTTCTTTTTTGAAATATAAACCTTATTAGCTCCACATCTTAATAAACATTGATGATTCCTGAAATTCAATCTTCATCAAGTGGAGGAGAATCGCACGGGATTTTTCACGTTTTTTTTGTGAAACAAAAGTGGTCAACTTTAGATCAAATAAACATCGACAAAGGTGAATTTTTGATCAATTAACCCATACAATTATACTATATTTTACAATGTCTTTTTGTGGTGTTTATTTATTTTTTAATTATCATTATCGATTATTTCTTTAAAACTTTGGTTGATTCTTCAAAGCTTTGCTTTTGAAGTGGAAGCAAAAACTGGATCATGATATTGAAACATTGAGAGCGCAAAAAAATTTGGGTTCGTAGTAATTTGACAAGTCTCAATGAAAGGTAACTTTCTATATTTATTTATTTGTTATAACTATTTTAATAGCAATAAATGGTATAATTGATATTTACTTTTGGATTTTTAGGTTGTAATTGTTTCAATAACATAATGAGTATAATTGATTTAAGTTAAATTATAATTTGTGAGGGATACAAACTTATTTCAAATGTCTAAAACCTACAAATATAATATTTTTTGTTTATATTCTTTTATTTTTTAATACATTTAAATTTTCTTTAAAAAATCTTCGTGGTCGTCGCTCCGAATCCCTGCCCTAAAATATACAGATATAAAAAAAAAAATTCTGGATTCGCCACTGGGTGCGATAATGCCGCCACTAGCACTAAGTCCATATTGCTCCTTCTTCTTCTTACGTTAGTGGCGCGGTGGTGTGGAAGCTAGAGCCTAGTTCATTTTGTTGATTTCTTCTTCCTGCCGGCGTCACTAGTGCAGTCTTTTTATAATATTTCGTCCTATCAAATAATTTTTTTCTCATATTTTTCGAAAAATTTACTTCCCTAACATATCCTCAGTAATCATATTTTTTAGAAAAAAAAAAAAAATTCCTCTATCAAACATCATCCCTTCATTCCCCCTTAATTAGTTGTCGGATTACAATGGTATGAATTTAAATAAATGGAAAACTCACGGTCATCAATTCAAAAGCTAAGAAATGAACTCATGGATGAATGAATATGGATGAAAGGCCTAATTGGGACAATGTGAACACTTATTAAGGATAGTTGTAGTTTTTATTTTCTCATTATAAGGTTAGATGGTGCCTCGAGACTCCCCGGTCACCCACGTAATGGTCGTCTCAAATTTTATAGTAATGTAATTTAATAAAAAAATATTAATTGAAAATACTATCAATTAAAGAAAATATATTACATTAATAATATTTTATTGAAAGAACAGAACTGAAAATATAAAAAGGAGAGGCAATGTTATTTCATAATAATTAAGACAGAATTTTTTTTCTCCTTGAAATCATTATTTCAGGGCTTATTACATTAATTCAAGATTTGTGCTAAATAATATTTACCTAGCTTACTTTTTCATAAGTGTAAACAACATATAAGTTATATATAAAAGAAATATAAATATATAATCTAACTCTCAAGTCTTAAGTTCATATACATCAACATAACGTTTTTTGCTGGTACAAATTAATTAAATTTTTAACACACCAAAAACTATTTATATAAGTAACAGGTTACTTCATATTTGAGGATTATGTTATTGATCTCTTGGTGAAAATAATAATAAAATTATTATGTAAAAATTCCTTCAAATTAAATAAAATAAGGTTATATTTGTTTTTATTTTGAAATATTCGTGATCTTAACTTATTAAAAATAAAATATATCTTATTTACTCTAAACTCACATTTTTTTGGTCATATATCATGATAATTAAATTTTATATCACCACTAATATTATTTTTAATTGTGACTACGTGACAAATTATCACTATAATTTTATTTATAATGACCAAAATATGTGTGTCAAATCGTGTCCTTTGAATGTGGGGAAAGTAATAATCATTTATTTATAAAGACAAATTCGCTTTTGAGATTTTTTTTTTCCCCTATGATTTTGTTGCATCTCTATTTAGCTAGGCCAGGCTCTAACTTCAGCTAAACCAGTATTTACTGTCCAACTATTTTTTGGCGGATCGTATTATTGGGCTTCTTCCTTTTGGATGTGGACGTAGTGACCTCGTCAGGGATTTCTTTGGGGTAGTGTTTGGTTAGGGAGAAGTTAAAATTTTGGTGAGTAAGTGCATGTGAGAATCTGACCCAATCACGTTTGGATGAACTTTTTTGCAAAATTTTCCCATCAGACTGTTTCCCTTGCAATCCAAGAAGAAGTGTAAAAATTGGATTTCCACACTGTTGAATAAGCCGTTTCAACATGTAGTATTCGTTTAGGGTATCGGATAAGTGAAAAAGATGGAGAATGGGTTGACAAATATACCCCTCTCCCTGTTAAACCACGACGAAAAAAAAAACGAGGAGCTAAGCTTTGTGTTCTGTTAAAAGTATAGATGAATGGAATCAGGTATAGGTTGCAAATGAAACAGGTTATAATACCAACTTTTTTTGTTTTTGAAACAGGTTATAATACCAACTTTTTTTGGGTGGATTCGAAACTGCTGAGAGGAAATCCAAAACACTTTATCATTTCTGTCATCTTATTTTTGGCTTATTTTCTTTTCAAATTTTCTTTTGTATCTCTTGCTGCTCATAAAAATCCTACTGTTTGGGTTCTGTCTTCAACAAGGCAACAGATTCTTATCCGATGAATATGTTTGGATTTAGTTGTTTCTTTTAATATTATTGATTGGGCCAGTACAATTTTTTGGTTTGATTAACAGTAGCTCCAATTGAAATTTATGTTTGTATCACATGAGATATTTTCTTGAATTGTAAAAATCTGATCTTCTCATATACTATTTTGCCATCATCCACTTATTTTCTTTTTATTATATAATACTTTCTGATCTTCGAAAATATAAATTTGGTGAAGAAAAAGTTTCCAGAAAAAGCAGTGATTATTTACTATGTGAATAGAAATGTAGGTCCTCATCATCCACACATCAGGATGGAGACCTCAATGCACATGTCCAAGAAAAAAGAATCGAGAATACATGAGTAAAAATACATAATTTTATAAGAAGGTTAATTTCGTCTTTTGCATTATGTTTCCCATCACAATTTTATTTTCAACCAAACCCACATCAGGATATTTAACCTAATTTTCCTAGTAATATTTTACGCTACCAAATAACTTTTTTTACATTTTCCTACTAAACTAACTTTCCAACGTCTTTCCTAGTAAAGACAATTACCCACTTTAAAAAAATTTCTCCCCAATCAAACACTACCTTGAGAGTTGCTATAAGGGTATCTGTTGTCTTAGGTCTTTTGTTCATGGAGAAATCAAATTGACTTTTGTAGTCAATGTAATCAGTTTCATTATTTAATAATAATAATTATTATTATTTATCAAATTGTAATCCGATTGAGTAGGGTAGAATTATATGGATGACAAAATATTTTCTATCAAATTTTTAACAACCCAGTAATTATATAATAATTACTTTAATTACAAGAATATGACATTAAAAAATAATTTACTAATTTAGTACATTTTTTTAGTATAAATAATCAGGTCGCCAACACGAAACCATTAATTAAGTTAAAACAATCCTAGCAGGTTGATCCACATGCATGCTTGATAATAATTTAGTGCATTTGTAAATGAAGAAATAATATGATGTTACATTATTTTTGGAGTATCAAATTCACAATTATTCTTGTCGATTTTTTTTCAGTATATGTAGTATTAGTATTAATGTCGTTCAATCCTTCAAAATATCATATTCCAACTCTATTACCTCGTTCGAGAGAAAATAGAGAAATAATAGAAAATTATCATAATTATGACATTTACTATATTGAAAGCAATGTTTTAACTGCACGTCTGCACACAATAATAAACTAATGAAAATATTTATAGTTATATTACTTTTAACGTGTTGGGTTATCTATTTTTTTATATAAAATTCAGGTAAAGATATTTGCTGTGAAAGGAATGAAAATGTCTTACCCAATTCGTTTTCGTTTATTCCCCTTATTCCAATAGCGGACCTAAATTTTTTTTTAATACTGTACACTTTGAATAAAAAAATAAAGGAAATTTTTTTTTAATTTTTTTTAAATATATTAAAATACAAAAGAAATAAACAAAAAAAGAAAAGAAAACTTTAACTTAATATAAAAAAAGTAATCAAGAGTCAACTAAACTGTTACAATAAAACATTTTGGGTCCTCAACAAAAATTACGGGCCTCGATTTAATATCTTAGGAAAAAAAAAGTCTACTTGTGATCTTTCAGAATTAAAAAATAAACGTAGATAATCAAAATCATGATCTCTGAAATTCAAAAAAAATCCACATTAATCCGTCAAAAGGACTAACATGAGTCTATTTTAGAATTTAAAAAGATCACGAGTCAAATTTTTTTAAAAAAATTAAATTGGGTCCTCTAATTTTTGTTGATGACCCAAAATATATTTTATTTTTTTCTCCAAAAAATTTGTATGTGCACTTGCACACACACTTGCATATAGACAAGTTCGCCACTGCCTTATTCTATCATCAGATATACTATATAGGCATGTAATTCTATTTCTGATTTATAAATTATATCTATCTTATATGTTCATTCCTCTGATCTTCAGTTTTCATTTTTAATAAGAGCGTCAAGAAGTATAAAGCATCTGCATGAGAGGAAGATCTAAAGTAAGCGCAAGCATGCATGTAGCGCAGAATATAATATTTATTTAATTAAGGTCGAAAATGTGATTATTTTGAAAAAAAAAATAATGAAGACTGGTATTAGGCAGATTGCTTAATGGTTTTTGGCTATTAGGTGACCCAAAGAAACTCTGTGTTTGCGTATGAAAGTGAGCAATGGTTTGCTTACCAAATTTCTCCTAAACACTGAAGCATGACTAATTAATGTATGGGTTTTATTAATCTCCTTCCACATAAGATAGTTATCTTATGTGGTAGAGAGAAAATGAGTGGGTCCCACCATTGTAAGAAAAAAGAAAAAGAAGAAAAAAGTAGGGTGCGAAAATCGAAGTGAGAGAAAACGAGATAAATTACCTTATGTGAAAGGAGAGTAATATTTCTCGTAATGTATATGTCTTTTTCTGGTGATAAATGCATATGTCGTCGTTTACCCATTAATAATTAAGTATGCATGGCAATCCATGTGCATCTCCATCCACCATAAGAAGTAAACGGTTACTGCTACCATGATTTAAATTTTAGGCCCCGCCAACATTAAAGTTTGTAGAAAGCTTGCAAATTCAGAGATGGGGGAATAGAAGGGGACCCGTAATCCTAAAAGCACCACCATGCATGTCCTTTATAAGTGTCCACATGGATTATAGTCCAACTTCTTAGGAGACATTACCAGCTAACGCGAATCAATTATTTCTCATGTTAAAATTTCAACTTTGTCACGTGAAAACTTTTATCCATATCTCTCAATCCATGACGCGTTTGAAATTTCTCTAAAGAAATAATCAATGGATTAATGGTTGAATCATATGTACATGGTGATAATTAGGTGTAAAGGCGTATGAAAGCTAAGCTGAGATAAGAGCACGTGTTCCATTCTCTACCGTACCACTTTTAGAATAAATTTAATGTCTTAATCTTGGACCCACTCTAAATAGGACTGATGAACCGATTGAAATATTTTAAAATAATAATAATTAGGTGTAAAGCATATTTTGAAGTTTACCCGGTCTAACTAACACTATTCATACTTAATTAACCAGCTTATGACTTTTACAAGTTAAATGATAATTACTCAACTCGAAATTTTTTAAAAGTAGTAAATAAAAATATTAATTAATTAGTTAAAGTGTAAATTAACTAAATCTTAAAAGTTGGATTTCCCCCCAAAAGTTTTTGGATGTTATTAATTGATCAAAAGTTTTGAGCTTAGTTTCTCTGAGGATTACCATGCTTGTGTGGTGAATTCGAGCTGCTACTTACCTATTATCAATAATGAAACATGTACATTTGAATTTATATTTAAGTACTTCCTTTACATTATCGACACTAATAAAATACTTTATTTATTTCTTTGCATAAATTTATGGAAGTACCTAATAAAATTGAGACAAAAAATTCAAATATTGAAGAATTAACCACTGGGAATTAGAATAAGTCAGATGACGTATTAGACATTTAAATCATAGTCTATTTTTAGTATATTAATTTTAATCTAGTTAATTTAATACACAAATCAGGTTTAAGTTTTTCAAAAGATCTATTTAATTATGTAAGTTAAGGGTTAGGATTATAAAAAGGTCTATTTACCATACTAAATCAGTCGATTTATTTATGATTTAGATAAACAATTAAAAATTTCTAATACTTATATAATTTATTAATTATATATTATTATAAGGTAAAATGTTTGTCCAGTCACGAAAAATACCCAAAACGATATCATTTACCAAATAGAATATATATATATTTTTGGATATTTACCAAATAGAATATTGTTATGTAAGTTTTTAAATAAAATTTTAAGTTATGCTTTTACAAAGATAAATAGCATGTCAAGTGAATATTTTACAAAAACAGACTTAATTAGACTTATTTAAACACAACCTAACTAACAATTCCAGTATTGTCGGTGACAATGAATTATTTCAAATTTGCAAAAACAACTTATAGTCTTATACCACAATTTAAAAATAAAAGGACCTGATAATAACCCCCCCGTATAAAATGGTAAAAAGTGGGAAAATAATGCAAACCGAAAATAATTGTTCATGAGAATCAAAACAAAGGACAAACTTACATAAATCTTAAAAAATGAAAAGAAATATGAAACAGATACCGAAACCTATTGAAAGGTACATAACACAAATTCCAAGTGAAGACAAGGGGGAAAGAATTTAACATAGAGCCGATTTTACAGACGGCCGCATGCAAACAACCATATTTCAGCCGGCTATCCCCATGTTTGCCAGCACAATCTATTCTAACCCCATCTTTTAACCCATCCCTTTAAATACCCTCTTCACTCCATCACTATATTTCATATCTTCTTAACTTATTTTCTATGCACCATTAATTTATTTGCTTCTTAATTTTCCATGGCGAAAATATCAGAGCAACAAGCTCAAAAAAACAATGTAAGCAATAACAATAATCTTAATGCAACTAACACTGTCACCACCAAGGTGAAACGAACAAGGAAAAGTGTTCCTAGAGACTCCCCACCTCAACGCAGTTCAATATACAGAGGAGTCACGAGGTTTGGTCTCCTTGTGTATATATATATATATAATTAATTTATTGTCTTTCTCTCTTTCTCTCTCTCTCTCAACTCCTTGGTCCCATTTAAGCCTATTAGCTAAATAAAACGGGTGTTCATCACCATCTGCAGGCACAGGTGGACAGGTCGATATGAAGCTCATTTGTGGGACAAGAATTGCTGGAATGAATCACAGAACAAAAAAGGAAGACAAGGTTAATTTCATGCTCTTTGCCAATAGCATCAATTTATTTATGTGGCTTGATGAAGTTAGCTAATTAATACTTTTATTTCTTTTCTTGTGGCATCTCAATCTTATGGTGGTTCTTCAAATATAATTACTTCAGTTTACCTTGGTACGTATATTGTTTAATTTATTGATTATTAAGCGAAACCAAAAGAATCATTCTATACTTACTAAGCAAGTTGTGCATATATTCAGGTGCTTATGACAATGAAGAGGCCGCAGCACATACTTATGATCTAGCAGCACTGAAATACTGGGGCCAAGATACCATTCTTAATTTTCCGGTATTCTAAAGCACTTTTTATTAACGGTGTTTTTTTCTTTTGTTTATGGTGTAAGATTGGTTTAGAAAATGAAAAAAATTAAACACGCCAGATTTGTCTTCAAATTGCAGTTATCAAACTACCAGAACGAACTGAAAGAAATGGATGGTCATTCAAGGGAAGAGTATATTGGATCGTTAAGAAGGTAATTAATGATCATAAGCATGCTTTTTTTATTATAATCAAAAAGATTTTCGCTAAAATTTTAGCTTAAATTGGGGCATTTTTATAAAAATATTTGCAGGAAAAGCAGTGGTTTTTCTCGGGGAGTTTCTAAATACAGAGGTGTCGCAAGGTATATATGTTATGCATATATCAGCACATTATTCATCCTACGGACTGAAAATCAAATTAATTTTGAAGTGTATCTGCCAATTAACTAAGCTGATTCACTCTTCGACATCAACTATAGTCGCAGACATCATATTCTAATCAAAATTTCATGACTTTGTTTTTCAATAATCAGACATCATCATAATGGAAGGTGGGAGGCTCGGATTGGCAAAGTTTTTGGAAATAAATATCTTTATCTCGGAACTTATGGTAAGTTCTCATCACCTAAAATTCTTTTATAGCATCGATGAAATATATATGGGAAAGTACATTAACATTGGCAATATACGTAAATGCTTTGTATGGAACTTATATAACACATTCTTTTTTCTTATTACTTGGTAGTATAAGTTGCACAACTCTAATGAGTGATCGATCAATCCATCTAAATTTTGGTGTTTGTTTCCTCTCAAACATAAATGAAAGAACTTTTCCAATTATTGTAAACCAAAATCTTACAAAAATGTCATATAATAAAGGGCTTTGATTTTATCATATTTCATAAAAATTATTTTCTCATGTTGTGATTCAACTATTAACGGATCCCACATTTATTATAAAAAAAGAGCTTTACACGTAAATTGAATGGTCATAACATGAGAAATGTCTATTGCAATATGAGAAATGTTTTTCCTTATAATAAATTACTTCAATTCAGCTCAATTATTATTATTATATTAAATTATCTCCATGCGACGGATATACTTGTGTCATATAAGGAAGATTTTATCGGTCGCATTCAATAGGATAGGGAGTCCAACTTTAACTGATTTGTTAACTTAACCTTTTCGTATTACGCTTATACTGATATGTCATTATCATTAATATAAAATTTTAATCGATCATCTTTATAATTTTTGTAGCTACCCAAGAAGAAGCTGCCACGGCCTATGACATGGCAGCTATTGAATATCGTGGACTTAATGCTGTAACCAATTTCGATCTCAGCCGTTATATTAAGTGGCTTAAGCCTAACAACAACAACAATAGCAACATTAACAGTAACAATCTTTTTGACGTTAACCCTAATTGTAATACCAACTTGACCCCAAACCCTAATCAAGAACAGGAATTTAGCTTCTTGCACAATCAGGAACCACTCAATAATAATAATGGAGAAGAAGCCATGTTGGTTCAGCCTCGGCCAGCTGGTGCCACATCAGCCCTAGAACTTCTGCTTCAGTCATCTAAGTTCAAGGAAATGATGGAGATGACATCTGTTGCCAATATGTCAACACCTCTGGAGTCTGAGTTGCTACAATGCACATTTCCTGATGAAATTCAGACGTACTTTGAGTGTGAATATTCCAATAAATTTGACGAGGGGGATGATGTCATGTTCAACGAGCTCAATTCCTTTGTGCCTATGTTCCATTGTGATGAGAGTTGAAGAGAGGTCTACACTCTACAGTGCATGGAAAGAGAAAATTCTGATATGTTTGTTGATTTGTTTAATTTATTAATTATGTTAAAATTCATAATCTTTTTCTAACTTTTAGAAAGGAAAGCACAAGGAGAACAACTTATAATTAATTAGGTACTTGGTGGTCCATGACACAAATAATTTTGTGTTTGATTTTCATGAGGGACGCACAAAGAACAAGGGAACAAAAGTTAGTGGAGGAGGGTTGAGGAGTGCTTGATAGTTGACAAAGAAGGATATCAAGAAGACGAAGAAATGATTGGACATTTTTTACTTTTAATTGGTGTTATATGGGCGACAAGAACCTGTCTTCTAAATAATTTATTGAGTAATAAACTTTTATTCTATGAATCATCTTTAATTTGTTTTTGTTTGTCCCACGACCATTTTTTTAAATCAAATATGGAATAAGTACGTTTGTGCTATCCTGCCCTTCATCTTTTACAAACCAAACACCCCCTATACGCGCGTGGACTTATTTTCAGTAAGTGAATATGAAAAATAATTTGTTACTGATGTGATAAAGATGAGGTTTAATGAATTGGTGGGAAAACTTATTTGCTTCAAATAATGGTGAGGAGGCGGAAGAGGGAAGGAAAAGAAAAAACAATTCTTCATCATCATTCAAGCATTTGTATTGTCTTAAGGTTAAAATGAAAAATTCATTTAACTATGAGCAAATTATAGAATATCTTTTGTGATTTAAAACTTGGAAATTTGAGTCTGTAGATTTATCGAAGTATATATATTGACATCTCACAAAGTTTTCGCCGTATCCTATAGATAAAATTTACATCATTCGGTAAAAAATTAATTCAATCCAAGAGAGTACATTGGACTTGAAAGGAAATGATGTATGAAGCTATTTTTATGTTAAGAAATTCTAAAAAAAAAATGAAAAACGGTGATGATCGGACTCATAACACTGAGGCTCTTCCAAAACTTTAAGATATTAAGATAAGGCCTATCAATGATTTATATTCTTATCTGACACATTCCATGAGATTTGAAAAGTTTAGTGGTTGAGTTGGTTTATTTTAAACCAGATATGATTTTTTATAATTAACTTAATAGTCGGAGAGAATTATGTATATTTTAATCAATATTTAATCAGAGTTTCTTATCGGTCTGCACGCATGTCTGTTTGACTATTTCAATTTTTTTTTCTTCAGTAACTGAAGGGTATCCCCACCCCCTTCGGGGGTGAAACTAATCCCAAACCGAGCACCGTAGGATCCTTGTGGGGGCGGCTCTACCCAATCCTTTTTTTCCATACTCAAGACTCAAACTCGAAACCACTGGTTAGGGAAAGACCGCCTCCGGACCAACTCTGCCAAAGGGTTTGGGTGACTATTTCTATTTTTAGCTTTATGCAAAAGTATTATATAAATTTGTTTATACATAAACCTATGTATTCAAATGGATGCATCAAGCAGTGTTATACTTATACACATACATATGTATGGATTGTGTTTGTCAATTACTGCTATTTATCCACAATTTTGCTAAACATAAAAGTTCTTTTCCCTTACGAGTAATACGGGTGAAGGATAAGATCACAAAAGTTCTAAAATGTGGATTTATGCGAGACTTCCCCGCTCCCATTTCTCAAATCTAGCTATTCAGTATAGTTTCTGGAGAATAGAGTTAGCTTCGTTTGACAGATAAATAAAGAGCTTGCTTAGATATTCTTTATTTTGGCTGATGAAGACAAAAACTCTGTTGTTTGTCAGTAGGCTACATACAAGATAAGAAGCACCGATACTCCTTAATTTTTTTTTCCAACGTATCGGATACGCGTATTGGAAACGTATTGTTTGATAATCTACATCATGTATCATCGAATAACGTATCGAAAACGCGTATCGGTGCTTCATAGCATACAAGTGTTCAGAGTTGCAACTCATAATTAAGATTTTATTTTCCACATGCTATAAATTCTAACTTGGAAACAGTTTTTTTCATTTTTTTTCTCGGTTTTGCTGCATAGTCACCTAAAGTACTTCAACAAGGAGATATGCTTCATTTGCGAACAATAATTACACTTGCGTTGTATTGTATGCGTTGCACGATGGCATTTCATCATAAGTGTGCCCCATGGCCAGAATCTGTGACGCCTCTAAAAGATCATACAAGACACGCTATATTCGTTGTATGCGTTGTAAGCAATGCATGTTTTTATTAGATGCCCTGCTATATTCAAATTCAGTTTTAATTTTGTTCTGTTTGGGATTTTGTTTCTTTCTTTACTCCGCATATCTTTTTTTTTTCCCTTTCTTTTTAAGGTTTTGGAATTTTCCAGTTTAATGTATGCTCTCATTTTACTAAGTGGTTTCTGATTGCTGTTGTGCTGTTGTGTGCTATTCTCAAGTTTCTTTTTCTTTCTTTGGTTTTCCTTCTCTTGTCTCTATAATTTTTTCCCCTTATAGCTATTAAGGGAGGATGAGTGAGTGGAAAGGGGAATTGGGCACTTGTTTATAACTTTTTAAAATCTATAGACTATGAGGCCTCTAATTATGTGTAGATTTCTTCACTTATCTGTCTTATACTCTGTGCGAAAGAAATTGCTCGTAGATTTAATAGAGCATGCACTATCAGATTTTTGTTACATATTGATCCAAACTCCAAAGGCAAAGATACACCACAAACTTATTTGGAGCTTAAAAGAGATTGTCACATTTGGAATATGCTTCATATTTAAGTGCAGGGCAAATTTTACATAAAGTATAGTTTACATTTTGGGATGCCTGATATCAAATGATAACATATAGTATACTTGACAAAAGAAGCGGTTTATATTAAACTGCTAAAAATTCTGTAGGATTATGTATTATAATGACTTTTCTTGATCATGAATGTGCAGGTGCCTAGCATGTTTAGAATACTATAAAATAATAAACTAAATCACTATGTCTTTTGCGTTAGTATTTTGTACTTTTTAAATATTTCTGATTCTCTGGCTATTTTTTGCTGACTTTCCCTGCCTTTTCCAGGAGGTATTTAGTCGCTTGCCTCTTCCCTGTGCCAATGAGGAGTTCAAAATTGATGCTACTTGGAAAGACATGGATAGTAAGATGGAACTGCCACCATGTGTGCACATGAGACGCGGTATCCTACATCACCTTATTCGTTATGCTGAAGTTGTTACTATATTTAATAAAGAATAAATAATCATATCTATGAGAATGTTAAGTAAAATAATTAGATATTCTGTTGGTTGGAATATAGATCACTAGTTTTCCAGTTAGGAACTAGATTCCACATTAACAGGGGTTGACTATTGCGCTGATCTTCATGTTGCAAACCTTAATTAATATCAAATGGACACCTAATTAAGAAGAACAGTGATGATGCAGATGATGGTGCAGGGTGCATCAGTTGCAGTTCTATCTGCTTTGAGGATTGTGTGGAGGTACATGTGAATCATCTTCTAGTATTTATTTTGTTTTATTTTTTTATGAAACTTTTTGTAGATATAGAGTTTTGTTTTAGGGTTTTATATTTATTATGTTACATACCATATGTTTACTTTCCTACTCACACAATAAAAGGGAAAGAGAAAGTGGAATGATAAAAGAGAAAGAAAAATATGTAGATCCCACTTTTTATATGTGTGTGTAGGAAAGTAGACTTATGTTATGTAACATAACAAACATAAAACCCTTTGTTTTAACCCACTGTTAATGTTAAACTTTTTCACGCTATCATCTAATTAAGTATTGTCATATGACATTACAAAGTATTATCAATCACTAATTTATCTACGCAATTAAAGTTGGATCTATCCTAAATGATTTTATTGAGAGAATTAATTGTAAAAATAGAATTTATAAACGAGAAAATTGGTTTTTAACTTTTACAAAAAGACGTAGCTAGGAACTCGACTTCCTCAATGTTTTCCTAACAAGTCTACCCCTTCTTTCAATTAACATTCAAGATTAAGTTATTAACGATTCTTTCTAAATTTGATAAAATCCCAATTCCTTGGTAATTTGATCATTTACTTCATTCAAAAGCCTAATTTCTTAGTACCTTTTTCTAAAGTAAGCATTAACGCAAAAACCTATCGAATTTGTAAGCCTATCCCTAGATCATACAAACTTTAGAAATTAATCAATCGAAATCAATACATCAACATCCCTATTGTCATGCAAGATTCATGTGTTTATCTATGAGTGATCAATTCATAAACAAAGCTAGTCATGAGGAAACAGATTAATTGCATAACTTAAATCATGAATATAAATTATAAGAAAGGATAAACAGTTTTAAGAACCCATTGGTTCCGTCTCGCCCTAACTACCTACATAAATTTAGCCTAACATGTTCATGAAATCAGAATTAACAAATGATGAGAAGTAAAGAGAGTTCATGATAAAACTTGATTAATGATGAAGCTTTGATGATATTCTCCTTCTTTTTCTCTTCAATTATGCTCCAGAACTTCTTCTTTGCCTTCTTCTGAGTCTCTTCCTTCTTCCGTCCTCCGAGTGTGTTTTCATAGCTCTCGTCTCGTTCTATTTAAAGAATTAAATTGGGTCTTTATTTCTGGGCAAGCTCGCTGAAGCGAACTGCTCAACGAGTTACAGAACGAGCTTAATTGAATGTCTCGCTCACCTTGCTCGCTGAAGCGATCTACAGAGCGAGAAAGATCAAATCTTTATTTTATTTTATTTTATATTTAAAAATGATGCCAACTGCTTTTTTTCCCATCAGATTAGTGGTTTGTTCCTTCAAGTCTGAAATAATCTGAAATAATAAAAAGGATTAGAATCTTATCTAGTTATAGATATTTTAATATCTTTTAAAATTTTACTAATTAACACTATATTCTTAATCATATTAATTATTATTTGAACTATATTTCACGTTGAAAATATAACGTGTGACACTTATCAGGTTCAATTGTTCAATGCATAAGCTGCTCAAACTCTTGTCGGTGCTGGGAAAATTGCAATAATAGGCCA